ACATATGTAGTTGTTTTTTTTGGTGTTTGGCTTAGTGTTATGTTAGATTGATTATTATACTCTTATACCTTTTGTTCTTTACTATATTGAATTGTTGCTGACGCCGAACTGCCGCTAATTCGAAAGTGAAAGTAAAATGTGCACGGCGCATTTAAGCTATTTAAAAGCGAAGGAAAACGAGGAAAAGGGGAAATTCAAAGGAACTAAAAACGAACAATTGCTTTACGCCGAATTGCCGCTATTTGAAAGTGAAAGTAAAATGCGCACGCAGCTTTTACAAGCTATTTAAAAGAGAAGGAAAGCGAGGAAAAGAGGGAACGCCCCCGCCCTCGCCCCCATGGTGATACCGGTATTCCCGGTGTTGTCACACGTCGATTAACCGGTGGGAAAATTTCCTCACCGTCACAACCCTACACCAGTTCATCCCAAACATGTTCGATGGGGTTGAGGTCAGGGCTCTGTGCGGGCCAGTCAAGTTCTTCCACACCAAACTCACCAACAATGTCTTTATGGACCTTGCTTTGTTTACTGGGGCACAGCTAGCTGGAATAGAAAAGGGCCTTCCCCAAACTGTTCTCACAAAGATGGAAGCATAGCATTGTTCAATGCAAATGTTTACTTGTGAATGCACCACAAATCACATTGCACTACTTCTTAACCTTAAATACCTCTTCTGCACAATATCATGTACAGTTATTATGTAAAGTACTTGTATAGTCTGTCTTAGGTTATGTGTATGTATAGTCAACTATTTATAGTATATGTATAGTTAGACTACTGCTTCAGAAAGTTAGCTATGTAGGTCTAAAAATTGTTCTTACGTCTAGTGTTGTATGTTCCACTGTATGTCCACACATGTAGTGGAATGACAATAAAGCTCGACTTGACTTGATTGTCCAAAATGTCTTGGCAATCCCTGAAAAACAGCCCTACAACAGTTACAGTTTGCACAATGCAGTGCATGGGGCCAAAGACTGCCCATTAGATTTACCCATAGCGAATTATATCTCATGTTTAACCACTATAGAGACCGAGGTAAGGTTGCTCTCGGCGGGTTCATGAGTGCTAAACAGCCACTGACACCCTGGAGCTCACATCTCCGAAAACGTTGAAGCAAATTTTCAAACAGATATTTTCTTTATTAACAAACTGCATATTTGAAGTCTAAACAAGTACATTCTCACCTAAAAACTCTCAAAACTACATTCCATGGCACAAACACAGTATTATTTCAAAAATTCGAATGTATTTGGGCATCCGCCATGACACTCGCCGTGAGAAATACCGCAAGCGGAGTGATGCAAACAGTTGGAGTTCTGATATCACTAGAAAACCATTTTTTAGGATATTTCTGTTTTCACTATTTTCGATCAAACAAATGCAGCCTATATATTTAGTTGAGCTGTAATACTTTAGTAATGGCCTGTAAATAATAATGTGGGAAAGATTCAGACACTGTACTAAGCAAATTCCACTGGGCCTGCTTGGATTTTCCATTTATTGAAGATTCTATTCTAAAAATATCCTATGAAGTAACTACGGTGTTTTCCAATGGTGTGTATGCAGGACAAGCTGACCAGGATGAATATCAATAGAGAACATGATCTAAGCTGTTGAGAACATGCTGCTCCAAAAGTTAGCCTCCTCACTAAAGCTTACCCCTGCTGCGTACTCTGGACCTCCTGTAGATCATCTACAGGTGTGTTTTTCGGACTCTTAAATGAAAAGGAGCAGTACAGCATGTTCTGGGCTCATTTCCATGGTGACCACACACCTCTTGCACCATGCTTGATGACTTATTTAAACAATGAGGGTGGGACGGGAAAAAAAACAACACCCTTACAAATACAAAATCACAGTTACAAGGAGAAGGAAGAATTTTCAACAGTGTAAGAGATAATGCATTAAAATGCAATACAAAAATCTGGGCCCTCTTTCGACACCTGTGGCTAAAACATGAAATTGCAAGTGATATAGAGTCAAATGAAAGGACAGCTCTAAATATACAATTAAATACTGTAGGTTTACCAGGGTGACTTGGGGTAAGACAAGAACATGATTTAAACACAGATTTTTGGATGTGCTAGCTTAAAGGGGTCATATGATGCAATTTCAAGTTTTCCTTTCTCTTTGGAGTGTTACAAGCAGTTCGTGCATAGATAAGATCCCTAAAGTTGCAAAGACTAAAGTCTCAAA